TCTGGTGCAAATTACTGACCTCTGTCATCATTTTAAGTGGGGGAACTTGCACAATCGGTGGCTGACTAAATACTTTTTTGCCCCACTGTACACATGTTGTAGTCCATCTTCTGGACAAGGAAAAACTATTAGGAAACGTATGTAGCGGTATGTGTTTTTAATATTCAAACATAGCTGATGATTGACTTTAAAATTCCCAGCTCTGGTAATGGATCACATGAGTAAAAACCTAGAGGAGAAAGACAAAGCACAAAGGAAGGAGGTGCCCTCCTTCCTTTGTGCTTTGTGTCCCACAGGAAAAACTGGAACGAGTGAGTGACTTGGAAATGCAATGGAAAATGAAAGCATAGACAGGATTCCTTTGTTGACCTTCCTGAATTACTGAAAACACTGCAGGTATTATTGGTGCAGAACAATAATACTTGCCTTGTCTTATCACACAAGCCAGTGTATTGTTCTTTCACATGCTTCAGTTTAACTGAGAATTCGGTGAATTGACCATAATGGTTTATACATTTTTAGTCTACATGCTTCCTTCAACGGTTTCTTTATTTTTCACAAGCATTAGCCAAGACATGTAGGGGTTCCAGTAAATATTAGTAAGAATAGAGTAAAAATTATAGTTGTACCAAAACTATCCGTAATTTCAGTATGCTCAGTTTAGGATTAGTTTCACTTGCATTTTTACTTATTTATTCACTTTTTAAATTTTGCTTCATGTTTTTCTTCTTTTCTTAACGGATTAATCATTCCCCGTTGTGAAGACTGTAGATGACACTACTGATTTGAGTTCATTTATTTTAATATGTCTGTAACTTGTACACACTTGTACTTGCTTTATGTTTTATATTTAAGAGGAGTAAAGTTATTCATATAGTTTTTATTCTTTATAATATGTTGTGCAGATCACTGCAGTCATACTTATCTTTACTGTCAGGGTCCTGGGTCTCCTGACCCAGCGTTTTAGTTCATTGTGATTTTTGTATTATTGTACTTGGTGTGAGTTTCTATGGTTTCTAGTTTCGATCCCTTGCCCTTCATGTTTCTCTATGTCCCCTCTGTTCTGTGTAAGTCTGTGTCTGCATGTTTGAGTTCCCCTCTTTGTCTCTCGGTTCTTAGAGTTCTCTGCCTTATGGTTTATGTCTCTGTTTTTCTTAGTTGCTGTCTCCACTGTGTCAAGTTCGCGTCTCTGTGTGATCCTTCCTGTTTTACTTTGTAGGTCCATGTCTTATGTGAATGTGTCCTGCTTTGCTTGTCTCGTCAGTTCTAATTTCCCCCAGCTGTGCTCTCCTTCTGTGTCTCATTCTCCTCGTTACTTCCCAGTGTATTTAGTCCCTGTGTTTCTCTGAGTCAGTGTTGCGTCGTACCCTCAACAAGCTGTGTGTGTTTTGCCTCCGTGTTACCAGTGTTTTGTTTCCAGCTCTAGTTCCAGTTCAGTATTTCTGCTTCAGTGTTTTAGTCCACCTGCGTTTTTGTTTGTCTTTTGGTGAGTTTAGTTAGTAAGAGGTTTTCCAGCAATAAAGCTGCGCTTTAAGTTGAACTTCTGTGTCTGAGTCCTGCATTTTGGATCCACCACTCCTGCTTGCCCGCCTGCCACACAGCCAACCATGACATTTACAGACAAGGTGAATAGATAGGTAGAGAGAAGATGCATTATTAATTATTAAATCCAGTCTGATGAGAATTCACTGCTTGAGTTCAGTTTTAGTGTTAAACTCCCAAGAATACCACCTGGATCAATAGTATTTTTTTCTGATTATTGGCAAAAGGTTTACAGCGGTCTTCTTCTTAGAGATGCTGCTAAGGCTGTAATTAAGCCAAGAGATACAATAACTGAAAACATGTGCACATAAAAAAATCTCCTGATGAATGAATCACAGGCAAGGATATGCTGTATAAACACTGTATAAATTAACAGTACTCAGTGCTGGTTCTAACAGCCAGAGCTGCTTCAAGCTTTATCAGAATCACAATCAGAATACTTTATTAATCCCTAGGGAAATTATGCGAGTTACAGTTGCTCCAGTACAGTAACATTAAGAAAAACAGAAAACAAAACCGACTGAGACAGGACTCTTCTAGACACTCTAACACCCACCAGGACAATGTACATTTCAGATTTTTCATTTAAAAATTTCAGATTGTCTATTTTATTTAATTCATGTAATGTACAAAATTCACCCGGGTGGGAGGTATTGGTATTGTCCAACATTGTCCTTATCTTGGACAACATTGTAAATGGTAAATGGCCTCTTCGACACCACCTTAAAAGAGTGCAGCTCCATACACACAACATTACTGGCCTTATGGATCAGTTTATTGACTCTGTCGGCATCCTTCAACCTTCAACCTGCCGCCCCAGCATGCAACATCATAGAGGATAGCACTGGCCACACCTGACTTACAGAAAATCCTGAGATTGGTGGTGTGGCTCTGGATGCCAGGCTGACTGCATGTGAGGTTGTAGGTGAACATCTGGCACAGCTGTCCTGTGCCAGATGTTCTGTTGACCCACTGAGAGAGGCTTTATTTAAGAATCACCAGGAACACTGAAGCTCATTGCACTGATCAAGCAGGACTCATGATCTTCACCAGCAGCTCCCTCACAGGGAAATCTTCAGAGCTCCACCGCAGGCTGACCCCAGGAGATGGATAAACCCAGCATTTCATGAACACTGTGATGGAGACCTTTGGTTTGTGTAATGTTATAAATACTCGTTTTTTTTTAATGTGCAAAAAACTGTAAAGGAATTCCAGATCACAAGTTTGTCATACAAGTGATGACCTTTGAGCTTCATCAGGTTTTATTTAATTGTGTCAGAGAAAATCAGCTGTGCTTTTCATGCAGCTGAGTACATCAAGTGTTTAAAACAGAAGCTGTGCAGGTCTGAGATCAGCAGCTCGCTGAAAAACCAAGCTGAGGTCCTGTTAATGCTGATATATAGTGACACAGTTACATGGGTGATTAGTCCTTTTGACTTGTTGTCTTTAACTTTGTCAATAAAACAGCTGCAGCTTTCACTGACAGCACATGTGGTACTTTAACCTTTGTACTGTTTTCATCAGTTCATTTTGCAGCTAACATGTGAACATGATGGATGATCTGTCTGCTGTCACTGGTTGGTGCTGAGGTCCAAATCTGAGGGCAGCTCCTGTAATCACAACAAGAACAGAATCATCACAAACTGAAATATGAAGTTTATCTTTCAAATCCCAAATAAAGCTGATCCTTCTCTGTCCTCACACACCCAGGATCTGAAGCTCTTCTCTTACATTTTTTTTCAGTTCTACGGTTCAATCCATAGTTACTTATTAATGAAGAGTTACTGAAGTACAAGCTTTAAAAAAAATAAATTGGTGTTACTGTCTTTAAAGATGTGGCAAGAGACTGAAAACATGCTGCTGTTTGAATATATTTAATAATCAGCTCTGCAGCTCTGAGCTGAAGCAAAGTGCAACCTGTTGCTTTTACAGTATAATACTTGTAATAAAAGTACAGTAACGGTAATTAGTGACTGAGCAACTCGGGACGTTTCTCTTGATTTCTTTAGTCAGGGTAAATTCATTCACCTGCACGGATTAGCTAAACGAACTTTACAAAACACGTTTCCCCGACAGCCGCGTGCTCATTTTAGCTAGGTCTCAGGACCTAGCTAAGGACGGTAGTTACGGATTATCTTACAAACACGTTTAACTTACTGAAAAAGTGCAGCAGGGCCTCGGATCCTTCTGTCGGGTTGTCCAGTTTACTGAAGAACACCTCAGGCTGTCAGGTTAAAACAGTCGGTCGTGGTTTTGTAACGTAAACGCTGGCCCTCCTCTCAGAGCCTATGCTCGATCTGCTATTCCTGAACAGAGATACGCAAGTTTCCCCGTGACTGCAGCTGTCAGTCAAAGCTGCTATGATGACGTTACACCCCAATTTAACATCGCCCCGTTAGTAATTAGAATCAAACTTATGGGAAAGGAGACCCCTTAGACATGAATCAACGCGATGAGAACTATTGATAACAAAAGAAAGAATCATATCCACTAACATGGAGGAGGCGAGGTTTATGACCTATACTTCAGCCAGACACCAGGGGGCGACAGAGACGTTTTGGCTTCATTTTTTGGGAGCTATCACGTCGTCCATGTTTTCTACAGTCATTGATCAAACACTGCAACAGATCTAAAACTACAAAAAGAGCAAAACAACACACACAAAAAAATGAAATAAATGTAAAACTTCTTCAGCCATTTGAGGCACCAGTATAGGCTATTTGGTATTAAAATATAATAATAATTAATGGTGATAAATAGTTTTCTGCTTTAACACATTGGTTCTCAAACTTTCTGACATGCCAAAATGCAAAAATAAATAATTAAAAAAAATGTTTTGTGCCCACACCAAGGAGTTTGTAATTAGTCAAGTAATTAAACAGTCATTAACAAATCAAAAAGATACAAGATGAATTTTAGTTAAAAGTTGGCAATAAGAGCAACAGGCTCTTGTTTTTAATGACCTTTACAAAAGCAACAAAAAACAATCAAAAACTTTTTTTCCCATGATGCTTCAATACCTGGTCCATGTTCCACAGCTTGAGAACCACTGTTATCATGTGCAGTGCATGGATATACATTAAAAATTAAAACAGTTTTACTGATCTTACTTTTTCAAAAGGTTTAGAAAACAGAAAGTGTCATGTCTTCATTGTTAGGTTTAAAGAAAAGAACAAAAACTTGATAAATAATATAAAGTGTAGATTTAAAATACACACGCAAGTGTTGCTAATGCTAACAAGGATTAAAATTTATGTAACTGAATTTACCATACTCAGCTATGCAAAAGGCGAAAAATATCTTTACATCCATTATTAAATCGAAACGCAAATTCAGCAACAAGATCCAGACAAAATGAGTCAACAGTTTCTATCCTAAAATAAAAATAAAACAACACGCTGCTGTGGCCCCCTTCCGGTACTGAAGGTAGGCAACATGTAATAATACATACAGTATGCCCTCCAACCAGCCACCATCCAATTCAGAGTCATTTACATTAAATGTAAGAAAACACCTCAAGTTTTCCTGAACTGCAAACAGCAAATCAACAGATCTGCGAAAACATGAAAGTATAATGTGACCTTTGACACTGCACATTTCATAAATTCTGTTTTTGCTGACTTTGCTTTCTGTCTTAAGTTTGTATACTCGTAGTTCTCAAATGAATTCAACACAAAACAGAGGGTTTCATTGACATGACTTTAGAAGCTTGTTTATAAACAGCTGTTAAATATGCTAATTAACCTTTTACAAAAGTGAAGCAGCCAAAACAAAAACTTAAGGCAGTACCAGAATACATTTCTAGTATAAAAAGAGGTATTGTTTTAATAGCTATTATTAATAGCTGCAGTGCTGACATGTCTGCTTGACTGGTTTAAAACTGTAAACATTGTAAGTTTTATACTCAAACATTCACATAAGTACCATCATGACCACTGAGACAATGGAAACTGGGACTCAACAAGACTAGAACATTAAAAAAAAAAAAAACTCAGAATTTAATGATAATAATTTAGAATATGCACTTAACACATGAAAACATGGAAAATCATTAAAAAAATATAAACTTGACATCACACTAACAAAATGCCCACCTTCTAATCTGTCACATAATATTTCAGTCAGTGACCAACAGTGTTGGTCAAGTTACTTGAAAAAAGTAATCAGTAACTAATTACCAATTAATTCCCAAAAAAAGTAATCACATTACTTTACTGATTACTTATTTTCAAAAGTAATTAATTACTTAGTTACTTTTTTAAAACACGATTTACAACCTGAGTACGTGATAAAGCGATAGATCTTTCAGCCTAATTCTACTTTTTCTGCATAATCCATCATACAAAATGTAATCAAATGGAAAAGTCTCTCTTTTTAAAACGTGTTTTATTAGTTTTAATCTTTTAACTTTATGCATCAAGCAAAAATTTAATTATCTGCAACATTCTCTGACTGGAAGAAATTAGTTTAACATTTAAACTTATTTTCTGCACATTCCAGCACATAAAATATATATTTTTTGTGTTTACACTCACTCTTTCAAATAGATGCAAGTAAAACACAGCAGAAAATAAATAAAATCAAAGACTAGCGGTCCTGTTGCTCTATTTTCACCTGTAAAGCAGGAGTGGGGTAAGCGGAGGTTTGCCCTGGTGCAGGTGTACCGCAGAATCCGCGAGTTTCTCTGTGAGTTTCCCATTACGTGGTAGCGCACTCGATGCTTGCTTGGAGGTTTAGGGGTTTTTTTTCCACTGTAAAAAGAAGTTTTCTTCCCACGCACAACGGACACTAATGTTTTTGTCACTTTTTATGGAATCAAACTCAAAATAAGGTCAGTACTTCCATGCTTTAAACGCTGCATGCTCATACTCTCTCCCGCACTCGATATATGATCCGTTGTTGATCTGCACACAGCTGTTGTCACGAATGTAGCACTCGCTTACGTCACTTTCATGAGACAGTCTCACACAAAAAAAAAAAAAATCACGGTTTTAGTAATGCAGTAACGCAGCGTTCCTACAGGAAAGTAACGGTAATCTAATTACCGTTTTTGCAATGGTAATCCCTTACTTTATTCATTACCTGAAAAAGTAATCAGATTACAGTAAGGCGTTACTTGTAACGCCTTACTGCCCATCTCTGGTGACCAATGTGGTGGGGAAAAAATTTTAATCATAAAACAATGAATGTTTGTTAATTAGCAATAAATTTCATAAATCCATGTATGAAGTGTGACTTTATAGACTGGTCACTGCTCTCCACCTACAGCAGCTGGAGTTATGAATCATTAACAAAGCTTGTTTTGCCTGAGTGGATATTTTAGAAAACCTTTCCATCTCATTATGTATGATAGCCAACAAAGTACACTGCTCAAAAAGGAACACTTGATTATCACCATATATCACAAACCAGTTTTAGCACCCGATTCACATAACACTGGACCACTATGGCCCCTCCAGCAGGTGATGGGTTCACTGGACCCATGAATAATAGGTTTTTAATAAAAAGCCCCTTGACTAAGCCTGGCTTTATGAAGGGGCCCTGGTAACCAAGATTCTGTCAAGTAACTTCTCATCATCAAACTCTTTTGAATCACACTTGGTCTGGCCCTTTACCCATGACCAATTTACCTAGGGAGACCCTACCAGGACCAAACTGTCCTCGACAACAAAGCTCCTGGGATCAGAAGGACACGCAAACCCCTTCACCGTGATAAGGTGGTGATTCATGAAGGGAGATTACACCTGGACAAATCTTTGCTTTTACTTCTGTATCAATTACCCTATGCTTACTTTGGATCTGTGCCTGAATTTAACTGTTTACTTTTGCTTATCAGTTCCTTTTTTAAATCATTCCTCACACTGTGCATTATGACAGGAAGTGAAGGTAAGGAAAACAGAAAGATAACATCAAAGGGCAAACTAATAACAATACGTTGTCAAGGTGTGCTGTGTGCAGCAGGATGTAGGACTCAAATGCTGGACTTGGAGACTGAAACTTGGAAACTTGAATATGAATTCAAGGAAACTAAAACTAGAAACTCAAAGCACGAAGCACTAACTAGAAAAACTGGGGAACTGGGAAACAAAACTGCGAACAGAGAACTAGAATGCTACCAGAAACAGAGAGACGAAAACACAGCACAGTGAGGGTACAACACGACACAGAACAAGGAAAACACAGGGCTTAAATACACAGAGGTGTAATGAGGGAACGAGAGAAAGGAGGAGTGCACAGCTGGGAGTAATGAAGCGTTACAAGACGAAGGGGAAGCTAAACTGAAAACATTTACATAGGACAGGGACTGTCAAAGTAAAACAGGAAACATGAGACAGATCACAAAGACTGCAGCATCCAATCTTAGTAAATACACCGATTACGATTAATGACTGATGAGAGAAACCAAATTTTCCAGTTTTCCTGGAAAATGAAAGTGTAGCTTTCGTTTTCCAGGAAAGCTGCACTCTCCTGGAAAATGCTGCAACGTGTTACTTTTTACAGTTAAAGGAAAAGATTTCAGCAGGGTGAAGACCTTTAATTTTATTAAAATTAATTTAAAAAAAATAAACAAAAACCCTATGATTCAACACAGTAAAAAAAAGTCTCATTCTAACCTTTTTAAAGATTTTTTTTCCTCTTTCAAATTTTCTTGTATGTTGCTTTACGTTAGGTTATCCGAGCAAAACATCTGCTTTCACCCCCATGTACAAACAATGGTGGGGCTGTATTACTCAAGTATTATATATTATGTGGTAATCTTACTGGTTGGAATTACAAGGTATTCAGACGGTGTGCTTCGCTTGACTGTTTGTACTGTCTGAACCTTATGGTCTCTGTGGTCTACTGATAACACTGATAACATTGTTTTAAACAGAAGCCCTGTGGGTTGTTATCCTCAGTAGCTTAACGGCTTGTGTTATCAGGAGATGAAGAACAGAAAGAACAGTTATCTTCTGTGAACAGTCACAGAAAAACTGCCATTCATATTAGCCAGAGCTGGTATGTACACCCTAAATGCTGTGGTAGTGATAAGAAAGCTATAACTAAACTTCATTAAAAACTAAGAGATGATAAACAAAAAGGGGGCAGAGAGATAAACGAACACCAAGTATGTCCACCGGTTCTCCATCTGTTCATTTACCAGCTGACTTGAGAACTTGAGAGCTTTCAGTACAGATATAGTCCATCCTTTGCTTCCACAGCTGTCAGGGAGATTGCTGTGGTAGACAGTTCAGAACATTTGTTTAAAATGGTTTTAATTTTAGCTGAACATGCAAAGACCGTCAGTGTATCTGCATATTTTAAAAAGACCATTTAAACTTCTATCATATTCAACACACACACTCATTTTTTTAAGAAGAGCAGATTTAATAAAATGACTTGTTTAAAACTAAAACTACTAATATATCTACCATAACTGCATAACAAAGATTTTTACATTAAATAAAGTCATTAGCGTCAAAATATTCAGAGAGAGAAATTAAACTTTGAGTGAAAAAACTGCATATTTCAACAAATTAACAGTTACTGACCTCTGTCTGACGTTGTTCTTGCTGCGCTGCACTGTCACCAGCTGATTCATTTGTTGGGACACGCCGCCAAAAAAGTGTAAACCTATGCCTGGAATTTTGGGGACAAATAATTAAAAATCCCTCCAACACCACTGCAATAGCGCTGAAATAAAACAATCAAGTGAATGAGTAACCCAATGTTAAAAGTCAGATATCCAAATACGTGAAACAAAGGCCAATGGCAAACGAGGAGCTATTGTCTATTGTAACACGCTAACTAGTGCACTTTTTCCCCCCACAGAAAGTATCAAAACTGCCAATTAGGCCATTCCTATGATTTGCACTCTCTCTGATAAGATTGCTTTGATTTTGCAGCATAAGTATGGCCTGACTAACTACCGTCAAGAGCTCATTTATCCACACTTCCATACTACTTTCCTCTTTAATTTAAGAAAAACTAAAGAAGCATTCCACACAGCTTTTAAATAAAGTGTCCATTTAAATTCAAACACCTCAAAATAGAAACTGTGTATATAAAAAAAAAAACGAAAGTAAAAATAAAAACATTTTTTGGTCAACCCCTTTGAATTAAAGAGTCTATACTTCAGTTTGGACAGTAGGTCCACATGCTTTAAAGTCAGATCTACTAAATATTATTCTACATTTTGGAAACATGCAAGTTAATGTACGAAGTACCTTCGATCTTCATGTTTATAAAAGTACCATACTGCAGCCCCAACGATGCTCAGGAAAATCAAAACACCAAGTAAGGCCCATGCAGCAGAGCACGATCCTGCAGGGACACAAGAATGAAGGATATAATGAGAATTACATTATCTGGCATTTATGTTTTATGTTTCATATATTGAGATGACTCAGACAATACTTAAACATATAACATACACAAATCAAACATGTAGCTCGTGTAGGTTGAGGGCAGGTTAACAATGATCACTTCTGGTACTGTTGGTCAAAAATGTTCTGGCAAAAACTTTTCTAGTCTTGGGTGAAGATAAAGGAAGAGAAGATGGGAAAGGTGTGAGAAAGCTGTCTGATACAGTTGGGGAAAAGCAGAAAGAAATGAACTGTTTCTAATTTTTATGGTAGTTTCATTTTAACGAGACAACATATCAACCTAAAGTCCAGAACAAATAGCCAGAATTCTGGTTTCAACGGACTGACAGACAGATTAAACCAATCAATTAATCACAGATACTTCTGACCTGAACTGAAGAAACCACAGAATTAGTTCCTTCTTTTCCAACTCTGCACCATGGGAAAGACCAAAGAGCTATCAAAGGACATCATGGACAAGAATGTAGATCTGCTGTAATGGATTACAAGACTATAGGCAAGTAGCTCGGTGAGAAGGTGACAACTGCTGGTGTGAATATTTGCATGCGAGGGGCTGGACGGCGCTAACGTGTTGACGCCGTGCAGCCCCAGGTGTTTCGGCCCGCTTGCATGTTCTACCAAAAATTGTGCTTTGGTGTCTATCTGAAGTTGGCACCATTTTTACAAACCAATTCAGGTTCATCTGTTTCATTCAACGATCCGCTTTCGCCCTGCTCATTCTCCCTCGCCGCCATACTTTTTCTGCCATGTGTGTATGAAAACAAAGGCACACATGGTGGAAAAAGAATATGGTTAAAATATGGTTAGAATATGGTTAAAACAAAGGCACTGCCTTTGTTTTAACCATATTCTATCGCAATATTTCATTTTCTTATC